TAACCGCGCTGGTGAACGAGTAAAAAACGTGTAGAGAGTCTCCAAACCTGTAGAGGCGCTGTAGAGACGCAGACTTTTTTANTCGTTCACCCGCGCGGTTATTTTGAATAGACAATAAGAGCATTTCTTCGTCACCATAACAATCATTATTAAGCTCATAAAGCTTATCAGTTATGCATCATCCTTTTTTCCTTAACTCCTTTTTTATTGCTTTTTTTTTTGAGAACACAGATCTTGATGAATAATGATTATGTGATGGTTTCTTTGTGTTTGCATTTTGAGAAAATGCTTTAAAATAAGGAACTTGAATCCAATTCCGATTCTGCTCAATTCTCAAAAGTGAATATTTGATTTTAGCGAATTCAAATTAAAAATAGAGACACAGAGGAATTATTGAGAGGTTCAGAGAAAACATTTGGAAGTCATTTGAAACTATTCTAGGAAAAACATAGAAATTTTATAAATTAACTGAAATTTTTCTATACTTCATAGTTTTGACCAATGAACAATTTTTATTCTAAATTGGATTTTTATTTGCCTTGCCAGTTAAGAAATCGAATAGTTTTTTTTTGTTTTCTAGTTTCAGTATTTGTTATCCGTTCGTTTAGTGCAATCTGAAGTAATATTAATTCATTTATTTTGAAATATTTAAATAATTAATTGCAATTTTCAGTAGAAAAGTACCGTATATCCTTTAACAGAAGCCCACCCACATTTAAATTTTGAACCTATATATCTAAGTTCTGGTGAAAGGTATCACAAAGTGATCAACTAACAAAATATTTATCATTATTTCACAAATATTTTGTCAGTCAACCACTTTCTGATGCCTTTCACAGGAATCGAGATAATTGAGCTCAAAGAGGAAATACGGAAGCTATCCAATTCAAGCTTCAAGTTTCCTAGTTGTCATTTCGAAACTCTGTTGACTGGAAACTGATAAAAGCCGATTCCGTATCATCTTTTTTAATGTCATTCAGCCTTTTTTGAATATATTCCAGTCTTCTCAACAAACAAATTGTGTAGGTGGGACGTCAGAGGGGGAGGAAATAAACGTCAGAATTCTGTTAAGTAGATAATCGTATCAAAGAAAAGAGCTGATGAAGATGAGTCGCATGTTGTCTACATTGAATTCTGATCATTTGGTGTTTTTGTAGAGTTCTAGGAACTCTCTTCGTTTTTGATATTTTCAATCATAACTGATAAGATATGCAATTTATTAAAATTACGAAAATATTGAATATCAAGTGCTATAGTTTTACTCTTTGCAAAAAATTGGCACATGATTAAAAAACCCAAAAATAGAAAATGAAAAGACGTGTTTATTTTTTTCTCATGACATATTAACGACGATGCAGATTTCCCCATTATTTGTTTCAATGAGAATTACAATGAGAAAACCTATTTTTGACTCCTGAAATTCCTAGAACCTTGTGATTTATTCGTTTCTTCGAACCCCTGGACTCAATTAGTCAGAAATCATGCGTTTCTGGTTTCCGCCACTACTTCTCTCTCTCTCTCTCTCTCTCTCTCTCTCTCTCTCTCTTTTCTGAATCATAATTATTTTGTATTTAATCCCAATGATCTTCCTAAAAATAAGAAGCTATCAAATGACATTTAGCTCTATCTCTCTCCGCAAACAGTATTATTCTTCGATCTATTTTCCTTTTCCAGTCTAATCTTCTTATTCACGTCTTCTGAATCAGCACGTCTTCTCCATTTCAGATCTGAAAAGCTTCTTGAAGTTTCCAACATCCGTGTTGAGAATCCTTGTAGCAATTTAGATTTGTAAAATTGAAAACAAGAATTATAATGACATCAGATTCCGTTACTTAATTGCTCTTTCTCTCTTTGGATTTCATTCTTCCCCCATTCAAGAGAAACCCGGATTATTGAAGAAAATCCAAATGAAATTGGATATTTTATTTCAGAAGCGAAGCAGTTTCTCTTATTTT